TAATGTAACAAAAATACTATACATATTTATATATTTTGCTATTGCTTTGTGGAGTGACACTTTCATAAACTTTTCTATACTCCTCCGATTATATAATGGTAAATATTACAATATCATAGCACAACAACAGTGATCAGCAATAATGATAAGCCTAATACTCACAATAAAAATAATAAGGTCATATAGATCATAACACAGTCTCGGAGGTAAGAAGTGGATTATCCTTCACCTGAAATGTTTGTCTTTTCATCCTGAAATGCGAGGCAAATGTTGGATCACAATAATTAGGAACCACAGTTTCCACAAATCCCTTCACTCGATTTGCATGTTCTCTTTTATTCTGGATGGCAAGGGCAATGACTGTAACATCGAGCGTATTTTGCAGTATTAAACACGTATTTTTCCCGATTTCATCAGGCTTCGAAAATTCTTCAAAAAGAACACAAAGAATGGCCTTCTCAGCTGCCATACTTGCGACTCTTGCGTCATCAGAACAGGGTGTTCAACGCACCACCGTTTCCGTTTAGAAAACGTTTTGCACCATTTTTGTCGGGGCTGAACGCAGCCCAGGTGTTCGCGGTTTAGTTCGTATTGTTCCCAGGTGTGTTCCTTTAGTTTAATTTAAAAATGAAACTAAAGTGGTCATTTAAACCCTGTGTTTCCCAGTGTTTGGCGTCTGCTGTTAAATGTAATTTTGTTTGCTTGATGTCTCCAGTGTTCCCTGTGATCCACAACGTGCCTTCATTAAAACCTGTTGATTTGCATTACTCCTCGTCTCCTCGCTCCTTCGTTCCCGTGCTCCTTGAGTGAACCATGACAGCATTACGGAGAGAGATAAAACTTGTGGGAGTTGGGTCACAGGGAGTTACATTCTGTCAAAAACAAATCGGGCAGGTTAGCTCCCCCTGGGGCAGCGAGAGCAAGGATGTGTGCTCTGCGCAGAAAATTAATGAGACACAACACGAAAGCAGACCAAAAACAAACAAATAGCATTGATCCCATACATATTCAACGATCTCCTTCACAATCAACCACACTGAGGAGCAATGACCTGGATACCCACACCTCTAACACGGCTCACAATAGAAAGAGACAGAAGCAAACACAAGCAGCGGTTGTCGGCACGCTCTTGTGTTCCTCGTCAGGGTTGAGGGCTCTGACATGCTCAGTGAGTTTGGACAGTGAACTGCAGACCCCAGCAGGGCTTGAGCAGGAGAAGAGACATCTCTACATGCCCCCCAGTGTCAGCTGCACGAATCAGCCTAATTACGCTTATCTCCTTTCTCTCAATACAGACAGGCTCTCAGTAGTGGCTACACTGAGGGCAAAGGCAACACAGTTACATGAAATATCTAAAAATGTAGCCTCGCGCTAGCCCCAACTGTGCACGGCGTGATTATTTTCCGTACGTGATCTTTATGTCCACACTCAAAGCGCAAATGATGCGTGACATTATGAATATGAACAAAATTTATGTAGAAACTGTCCCTGTAAAACCTGAGCTACTATATGAGATCTAAGAGACTTAAGATACTGAAGTATCTTATTATTATTTTCTCAGTGATATTTATTTTTTCATAAAAATATTTTCTTCAACATATTTTTTAGTAATTTTGTTTATAACTTGTCACGACAGAAAAAAATGCACATGCGCACAGAAAAAATGCATTACATTATACATACATAGATGAATGAATGAATAAATAAATAAATAAATAAATAAAAATGTCTATGACTTAAGTTAAAAAGTTTAATACGTAGGACAAAAATGTATGAATTATAAAATAAATATGTTTATGTCACTGGACCACACACTCCAATTTAAATATGAAGAGAAAACGAATCCCTTTTTTTTTTTTTTTTACCTTTTAGTGTCTGTCTAGATTAATAATGTTCCCCTGTGTCAATCTCTGTTAGAACAGCTGAGTCAGTTTGATAAGGCTTAGGCTGTATAACATGGCTAATTTGAGGTTTTAAGAGCCACATCCCTGGGCACAACATCAGAATATCCATGGCATGGATCACATGATTAACAGGTGGAGAAGGAATAGGAGGTATTCTAGGAATAGACAGCACTGTATGTCCATTTTAGGCTGCTGTTGTAAAACTAGAGCAGAAGACGGTGTGGCAGCACAATGAGCCTACAAAGGGTGGCAAACTTCACCGGATTAACCACGGTTAATCCTGTACGAAGTAGTATGAACTGTTGACCTCCCATCAGAATATAAAGGCTCAAGACCTCCAAATAAGCATCTTAGTCATATAAGCTCATTTCTAGACAGATTAAAACAGGCTTAATGATTGTTCCACTTTCATTCTTTGGATCAGTTTCAATTTTGATAATTGTCCATTGTCTCTGCCAGCTGGTGTCAATCATATGCAGAGAAACAGAATGAGTGTCCTTGAAAGGTGTGGCCTTGTGCGTTCACACACACTCAAACACTGGACTTACTTTGGTGGGGGCATTATGAGGCCGAGGGTGCGGTACAGGATGGCTCCGATGACGAAATACGGTGTATCATCTGATTCTATGGGACAGAAAGGGTTAAAGTGTCAACATAATACATGACACGTCCGGAATTTCTCAGATCAAAACTCCAAATGAATCGAACCATAAACAGAAGGGAAAATCTTTCAAGATTATGGAAAAAATCTTAAAACATCTGAGAAGTTCTTAAAAAAAGAAAGAAAAAATGAACAAAATCAGTTAAAAAAATATGAAAAAGTAATGTGATCAAGCAATAATATACTTTCAATGAATGAATAAAAAGTAAGCAAATAAATTAAATTAAACTTAAGTAAAAACTTTCTAATGAGGAATTATTAATTAACAGTTACAAAATTAATTCAGAAATAAAAAAACATTTATGTCATATGTGCAAACTGCATTTTGTTTAAGTATTTCATTTAATATGTATATTTTATTTTATTTTAACTTTTGTATTTTTACATAAATTAATACATAAGAAATAAAATGAACATTGATCTATATGCTTAAAATCAAATATGAAGGGAAAACACATCACATGATCATAATATGCAGCTCCAAAAACAAAAAGCAGAAAATAAAATGTAAAATTTAATATATAACATTTTCTTTTAAGTTTAAGTGTTTAATCTAATACACACACTCACTCACTCACTCACTCACTCACTCAGTCACTCACTCACACACTCACTCACACACTCACACACACTCACTCACACACACACTATTTGTACATTAATACATAGGACAAAAAAAACTGAGCATCATGTCACTGATCTACATAGTCATATTCAAATACGAAGGAAAAACACACATCTCAACAATTTTATGATCATAATATGCAGCTCCAGTTGAAGGAACCAAAAACACAAAGCAAAATATAAAGGAAGGGTATTTAAGAAAACTCTTAGAGAGAGTCAGTACAAAGCCTGAGATTTAAAAGACACAGAAAGGAGGGGATTCATAGAGATATGATCACCCATTGTGTTCCCAGGCCAACTGTCCACTCCTCCCCACTGGCACCAAAGCCCTGTTTCAGCAGCACATATCTCCATGCTTTTCATTTCATTTGTTTTGTTCTCTCCTCTGCATGAGTGCCTCGCCTCCACATGAACCTCATCATCTGTTCTTTTCTGAAACACTATTTATCAAGGACCTCTTTCTTCTCCATCCCTCCTGAGTCTCATCCAAATCTTCTTCTCCTCGAAACGCTGTGGGCCTCCAGAGAGACTCGTCCCTGAGTAAATTCCATCATATTTCACTTATAGAGGACATGCTTCGGACACAAAGTGAAAGTGATACAGTAATTGGTGATGTAACAGGCCTAAAGTCCACATTTCATTGCTCTGTTGTTCTCATGCAGCACTGAAAGTCCTCACAGCTATTCAAAGTTCATACAGAGATGGAAAATGAGCATTTAGCCCTGTTCTAAGGCACTTCAGAGGCTCTGATTTTACTGAAAAATTTCATGAAGAGAAACTCGGCCAAGCATGGCTGAATCACTGTTGCAATTTCCACTGACATTATGCAATTTTAGGTTTAATAATTTAGCTTAAATATAGAGCTTGTTAAAATCACTGAACACAATATGCATACTCTCTGATCCAAAAGAATACACTTGTCACCAAGTACAAGTGAATAACATGATCTCATTAGCATATAGATGTACCTCTCCAAAGTTGTTTATGGTTTAGAACCTTAGAACATTTATTAAATATGTTTAACGTTTTTTTTAAATACTGTATTTAACATGATAATGCATATTTATTGTGAAAATAAATGTTCATATCTATATACATTTGAAAACGTTTTGTTCTAATATAGATTTTTATATAATTTTGATTTTATTTTAATTTTCTGTTTTATTTTAATTTTAAATTAGGTTTTAGTTATTGGTATGTGTTGTCATATTTTATTTATTCATATTTTATCTTTTTATCTATTTTATTAGTTTTAATAATTTTAATACTTCAACTTAAAAAATATTTTTTGTTAGTTTGTTGACAAGAGAGTTATAATTTCTATAGTTATATAGTTTATAGTATATAATTGAATCTAATATTTGTCATTTTTCAGCTTTATTTCAAATAGCAAACCTTTTTTAAATTGTATTTTATTTTATTTTTTTGTTAATAACACCAGCACTGATGCTTAGACATTTAACATTAATAGTGGGCAGAAATTATGCTAGCTACCATAGACACATATAATACATACACAGTATTAAAAAAACATATTATTACCTAATGATATCTTAATAATTTGTTTTGTCTTTAGCACCGTGAAGAAAAAACCAAACCAAACTTTGTGTCATTGAAAGATCCCCTCAGACAGACACATTAAGTTTAATGTCAGTTCTATTTTGGACCATCATGCGCTAAAAATAATTAAAATCAGCCAGTTTCACGGCTAATTCAATGCCCAAAATCTTGAAAGATCAACAAAACAGACTCTTTTAGCTCAATTTTCTGTCAGAGGAATAAAGGGAGGCGTGCATCGTCCCTTCACTGAGAGCATGGATGTCACAGGACAAATGCCGTGACTCATCCAGCAATACTGCAGTTCTCATCAGACTCAGCAAATCAAATGCCAATCAGCTCCACAGCGCTTCTGACTGCATGTTAAACTATGAGTTAATGGATGACAATCATACAACAAGCCCTGCTGGTCTGAATGGAGCCTGACTTCTATCTTCCCTCTATTCTCTGAGCTATCACTTCAACAATGCTATTTTGAGAAAGGGCCCTGATGAACCTTTCCTTCTTTCAATAGAAAAACGTTCCGGACAAAGCTCTGCCCAGGGAGCCATCTTATCTCCGATGGCAGTGGGCAGAATGGGGAGTGTGTCGAGTCAGGAAGCGTTTGTTATTTCCTGCTGGGCGGTCCTCCACGGGCAAGCAGGTCTGTAATGGTTTAGCCTGGAGTTGTTGAGACACTCAACGAGACACTAGCAATAATGGTCATTTCTTTGATGTCCGTTTGTTTCTTTCTCATTTCATTCAGCACTCTCTTCAGCCTTCAAACCAGCTCTTCCCTGCCCACATCCTGTGCTTTCATTCTGTCAGGCAGAATATCTCTCGTTTCCCCCCTATCTTTAGAAGTCTGAGGACTGAGTGCCTGTCATGCTGGCAGATCACTATGATTTCATTGGCCCATTTATTCTTCCTATTCTCTCAACCGTGTTCTCTGTCTCTTCCCAAACCACAGACTGATTGAATTCAGTTCTTCTCTGCAGTCAGCTAAACATGACTGTACGTACCACAGCTTAATGCTGCTAAGAATTGTACACACTGCGTTTGGTTATTTATCTGAGAATGGTAGTTCGTCTGACCAGTACACACAGAAAACGACAATTGACGGCCATCTTGGTAGCTAATTTCATTGCAGGAAATGGGTATATAATTACAGTTCCTATATCTACTTGAATGAGGAAAGATGTTTGAATAGCAAATGGCAAATTAGCAACACATTCTAAAGACAATGGAGCTACAGAATTTGCTCAAATTGTGCAAACAAAATATTTTACAGGATGGTCTTATTAATACAGAAGCTGACATGGTTACAGAAAAAATATGAGATGGGAGAAGAAATTAGTTTAATTTCAAAGTTAGTTTTGTGTTCACTTTTGCATTCCCCTGAGAAACTTTTCGCGCAAAACATTTGAGCATGATAGCGGAAACTGGTAATGGTAATAATATGAGGAGGAAAGCATTTATTTTCGTCCCATTCCTTAACTCCTGTTTTCAAGTGAATTCAGGTACACTTTTGACCCAAAAGTTGCAGCCAGGACTGTTTTGACAGAAAAACAATGCTTAATGCTATTTAGCTAGCTAGCAATAATAAATAGACATATTATTATATATAGTCAAGATCACAAAATAAACTTAAATGAAAAGTTCACGCCAAAAATGAAAATGTTGTGTACAAGTTTGTATAAGCTTCTTTCTAATGCTGAACACAAAAGAAGATATTTTGAAGAATTTTGAAGACTCAAACTGTTGTTGGTCCCCATTGACTTCCATAGGGAAAGAAATACTATGGAAGTCAATGGGGACCATCAGCTGTTTGATTAGCAGCATTCTTCAAAATATCTTCTTTTATGTTCAACATAAGAAAAAAAACATATACAGGTTTGAAACAACATGAGGGTGAAACATGAAGATTTGCATAGATGGACAGACCGTGTGACTGTGTCATGCTTTTATCCTCCAAACTCACTAACAAAACTACACAAGGTAAATGAAAATATAATCCAGACTACATAAATGAGTGCAATCAATAAGAAAATAGTCTGTGCTAACCACAATGCATTCTGTGCAGTGAATAGTTGGCTGTCAAGAGCATGAAATCATCAAAACTCAATTTAACAATTCAAACCATTTGGAAACTGTATTTGGTCGCTGCTAGACATCCAATGTAAAGTCTGTTGAGCATCACTGATTTAGGTGACTCATTCCTGCATTTTAATGCGGATGCAATGCTCAGAACTTGGCAGTGCGTACATGTTCTAGGAGGGATGGCAAAAAGACAGGAAAAAGAGGTTTAAAACCCTTAAATGAGACAGAGAAGAGAGTCATATAACATGCTAGGACGCCAGAGCTGTACATATTAAGTAGCAGAACCCTGACAGGACACTCAGAACCGCTGCTGATACCAAAGGATCTCATTAATAACAATGATGGAGCTGCATGCAGAGATGCAGTGCAACTCACAGACTGTTACCACAAAAACAACATGATAATTGAAAACAACCCACACAATAGTGTATATTTACACATTGTACATATCACATTTAGGCATAACTAAAACTATTTGCCTCTGTCTTGAATACACAGTAAGACAGTGGCAAGATTAGAAAATGTTTCAAGCTGGAATTAAACCTGCAAGATCCCTATCGCACTAAACCAACACATTCTATATCACTTACCATCAGAAGACAGAGTGAAGACTTCTTTGGGGATGAAGAGTTTGTCGTCTGCAGAACGTGCCCAGTCTTTCATTCCTCTCCTCCCCTTCATGGGGAAATTGATGTCACTGGAAACAGCCGAAACCGGTTCTCGCTGGATGGTGATTACTGACAGAACCAGAGAAAGACAGATTAACAGTTCAAATATTAAATGCCTCATGGAAGTACCTTTAAGAGATCTGCACTGGAGGCCAACATGGCCTTTACTTGTGGCCATGCCATGGGAACTTACTGAGGTTGTTGGTGACGACCAGAAAGCTCTGGAACGGCTTTTGAGCCTCTCCAATTAGATGAATGAAGTCTTCCACAACTCGCATCAGTAACATAGAACCCGGAGAGACCTAAAAGGAAGTTACACAATCACAAAAATACAAATACAAAAAGAAAAAATTTGGTTTAGTTCAATTTTGGGTATGATCTCTGAAACATAAACTACCTTTCACAAGGTTGGGGTCAATAATACTTTTATTCATCAAGGATGCATTAAATTATGACGGAAACGGGCTTCCATATTAAATTGATTAAAAGTGGCAGTGAATATATTTATAATGTTACAAAAGATTTCTATTTCAAATAAATGCTTTTTTAAAACCTTAAAAAATTATCACTGTTTCAACCAAAATTAGCAGAACAACTGTTTTCAACACTGATCATAAGAAATGTTTTCTTGTTTTCTGAACACAAAATCAACATGATTGAAAAATTCAGCTTTATCATATATACACACACACACACACACAT